TTATTTTTGTTTGAAGATTCAAAAAAATTTCATTAAAAACAACATGGTGCGTTTCTACTGACTCACCCCCATATATAAATTTCGATAAATCAAAAAGAACACTTTAAACAATAGCAATGGCGCAGTAAATGGCCGGCAAATTAATATAGTGGGTTAAGCCTGTGTATGAATTTATTACTGTATATAGGAAGGCTGAGAATCAAAATAATGCATCATAGACTTTGTAAATTTGTTCTGCACGTCAATAATTGTCTATCACAACAATAGATTATACATTGTAAAATTAATTAGTCATGATGACGTACAGAAGTTTGTTAAATTTACAAAAAAATAAACAAATTATGAAGATCGTTACATTTCAATTTCAAATTACGTATTTTGTACAATCAACTTTATTTCAAATCCAATTACGTATTTTTGGATAATCATGCGATTTTTTTTAAAACTATATTATCTGTCATGACATGATAATTTGCTCAAGCTTATAAAAGGGAGCAATAATATTTTTTTAAAGTTATAATTTATAATTAAAAATTTTTCCAATCACTTTATTATTATCGTTCTATTTATCTATCATGTCCAAAGCACTTTTAATTCCTGAAATTATTGAAAACTTTTTTATTGCGGCTTATCCAGATGCTATAACACAACGGTCGATGGTACTCGTGAACCGTTCTTGGTGTTCAATTGGCTTGAAACATTTGTGGAAATCACCATTTGCATCATACTTATATGATGAGAAAAAACCACCTAATCATAAAATGATTATTTCGGTGTATATTTCTTTACTTGATTCAGAATCGATTTCAGCTATTGCAAAAAGATTATCAGCAGCAATATCAACTTGCCAAAAATCGACTTACAATTATGCAACTTTCTTAGAAGAGCTTGATATTGATAATTTACGTGAATTAGTTGAGAATTGGCTTTTAAATTTTGCTGAAGATTGGTTACCAAATTTCTTCCCTTATGAAGAATTTGAAGATTTATTTGATGAACTTACCATGTTGTTATTAACACAAATTTGCAAGCTTTTCTTAACTAATTCTAAAAAAATTACGCTTCTTTCCATAAAACGACCCGAATTTTTGGTCGATATTTGTACATTTTGGGATTATGTATTTAATAATTGTAGCAACATTTCTACGCTTGATCTTGATCTGAGAAATACAAACCAACAAGAACTTATAAAAACATTATTGCCAGAAATTATTAAAAAGCAGCGAAAGTTAAAGAAATTTGCATTAGCCTCTAATGTACAAGATATTTCGTCAGTTGTATTGGCATTAAAAGAACATGTTAATTCATTAGATGAACTTTGTCTTCTCGCAAACATTGGAGATCTCGTAGCTGTGGAATCGCTTGAATTGTTTACAAATTTGCAAAGTTTAGATATTTTCATTGATTTAGAAAGTTCAACCAAAACATACAATCGTTTGATACTTTCAACAATAGCTAAAACTAGTTTTTCAAGACTTGAAGACATGCGTATTACGATTTTGGGATCTGATTCTGCATCTATCAGAAACGATTTAAAAAAAGTTACCGAAATTTTTGGCCATACTTTAAAAGAACTAAGTTTTTGTGATCCGAAACCTTCACAAGGTGATTTAACTATTTTAGATACAATTAGAGATGCTCCTCATGCAAGATAACCTTTTGCATAACTAGTATGAATTACTTTTATTAACTGATATTATAACACTTCGATTCTAATTTACTTTTTTAGAACATTTCTAATTCGATCAAGTTCTCCCCATGAAAATTTAAAATTACATAATTTGGGGCAAAACGTACTTACATTACGTACTGTATATACAACTTAAAACAATTTGCAATTTATATAGTTAATTTAGTTTTTTAGTACTGTTAAAAATATTTTTTTTAGAACAAAATAAATTTTTAATAATATTTTTATGACGTATTATGACATAATGTTACGCTATATCGTAAAAGTTACGTCACTGCGGATTTTGCAATAGGTATTCGGGTCGAATACTGATTGCCGGGTAAATTATTCAACGAATATACTGTAGCTTCAAGTGTTTTATTTTACAGCGAATAGACATAAAGATTAATGAGAATAAATAAAAAAACATTTAAATAGAAAATTGAATATATTAGCTATTTTAAATGTTAAAGTTCTTTATATTCACCAGATAAAATAATATACGAACTTAAAATTAGATAAGTACGTATAACGTTCGGAATCGATTGTTAATAACAAAAATTACTAAAAAAAATCAAATTATATCAAATTGCACTAACGATGACTCCCAACAACACCAAAGTGCGATAATACTAACAATGACGCTATTATTTAGAATTAACTAATAGTCGCACGTAGTGTTCCAAATCGGACCAAAAAATGCAATCGATTAATCGGATAAAATTTTTTTAACCAATCGATTAAAAATCGATTGTACCAACTAATCGATTAATCGATTAGTTGTGTGATTAATATTAATCGAATAATTGATTAACCGATTATTCGATTAAATCAATCGATTTAATCGAATAATCAATTACTCATATATAGTAAATTAATACTAGTTATATAATTATGGGACTCACGGAAATCGTAAAAACTCACATAGTGATTAATCCTATTAAATTAAAAGAGCGATAATGCAGTTCACAATGGCTAAAATTGAGTTTTTTTGTATTGATATTACTATGATTTTCATTACGAGTTATGGTAAAACATTCCTTTTGGAAATTATTTGCTATTCTAGTAACCGCAATATGTGATTAAGGTCATATAAAGTTTGCATTAGAATTTCATAGTTTCTATTATGAGTTATATAAAAAATTTTGTACCACTTACCCACCATTCTGACAACTACGATGTGGTTGAGATTGAGTTAGTTTGCATTAGAATTGTCATGGTCAAGCTTGAGTTAGTTTGCATTGAAGCTATTATTTCTTTCATAAAGAATTCTGTTGCAAAGTCTCGCTATTTTGGTGACTACAGTATGCGATTAAGGTTAAATTAGTTTGCATTGAATTATTGTATTAGAATTATTGTGATTTCTACCATGAGTTACTGTAAAAAATTCTGTTATAAAAACTTGCTATTTGGTGACCACAGTTTTGGTTAAAGTTGAGGTAGGTTGTATTGGCATTGTCATGTATTTTCTATGTGGTTGAGTTGGCTTGCATTAAATCATCACAATTTCTATTGCAAGTTACTGTAAACATTTTGTTGGCACAGAACTTGCTATTCTGGTAATAATGAAAAGATAAGTTAGCTTGTATTGGAATTATCATAATGATAATCTCTTTCATGTTACATACCTATTCGACACATAGTTTATATTATGAATTACCATAAAAAATTTTTTATACAAAACCTTTCATAGGCAGAATTTGTATGATTGGCTGTTTAAATCAATTTAATTTTACATTATTTATACAGCTTAAAGTACTTTTTTAAAAAAAAAGAAAACCACAAAGAATAAACAAAAAAGAAGTATATAGAAAGTTTTATTAGGGTTGTAGGACTCCATTATTAAAAATAATCCAAAATC